TATTAAATACTTTATATAAGAGCCTTGATAATAACAATTAAAATTCTAATGCATGATTTTTTTTGAAAAGAATAATAAATAAAGTAGGGCTATAGTTTGAAAATAAATATAAAAGTATTTCAATATTTTATATTTTGAAGTGGGTAAAGTTTTTAAAAGATATTTTATATTATGATCTAAAGAAGTATTTTAGAGGGAGCACATTAATCCAGTGATTGACGATATCCACTCAATTAATGGCTAACAATCATCTCACGAATCTCACAACGTTTTGATTAATAACACTAAGTTGATATGTATGCATTAAATTTGAGAAACATATTTAAGTATTTTCATTGGATTTTTTTAAATTTTTATTATAAATACGGTTTCTGAAATGACGCAGATTTGTTAAAAAAAATGCATTAAACTTAACATAATGAAAAAAAAAGATTACATTGTGTGATTTTTAACTTTGGATATGTAATTGTATTACATGCTTGTCAAAAAAACTTTTACCGCTATTGTTGTGTTCTTCTTAATTAGCTAGACCGGCTCAAGAGGCAGAGCCGTGATTTTAACTATGAGGGAAACCAATATTTAAAAAGTGAATATATTACAATATAGAATAGTTTTCATAAATATTGAGAAGTTGGAAGTATAAAATATCTATACAATTAAAAAAAAAAAAGGGGATTGCCTGCATTTTTATTTTAATTTTTTCCGGAGAAGAACCGTGTCTAAGGTTGTTAGAAGAAGAAAAATAGTTTTATAGGCCCAATATAATCTGATAATACTCTACATGCCCGAAAGATTCTCTAGGCTTTCTGACTTTAACCTTATGCTTTAAATTAATTTTTTTAATATATCTATATTTTTTAAAAAATAATCTGTAAACAAAAATACTAAAAAATCACAAGTGTTTATTGAAAATTTTTAAGCTTGTTTGTTTCAGCTTATTTTATGAAGAAATTACTTACTTCTTTTTTAAAAATATATTTTATAAGTTTTTATTATGTTTATTTAAATTTTTGAAAATCATTAGAATCCAAAAAATAACCAACTTATAATTATTTTAAGAAGCTAATTTGAATAACATTTAAAAATAATCTCTAATACAGTAGATAAAAGAGGGTAATTTTAAAGACACGAGATACGTAAAAATATCATAAAATTTTAAAATAATAAATAATAAATTAATTTTATAAAATAAAAATCAAGAAAAGATATCATAAAATTTAAAAACAACTAATTAAATATTACTTTTTTATTATTGCAACATAAATAATATTTAGCTTTTATAAAATTTTTTAAAAATAAATCTCTTCTTATAAAATCTCTAAACTAATGAAAAAATTATTTTATTTTTAATTTAAAACAAAAGGCCCTTTGTAATACTTCGAAAATAACGTGTCCTATGGATATCAAATATTTTATGTTTGTCACATATTAGTCTAATTAATTATGAATGATTTTTCCTAAAAATTTTCTCTTCAAACCGTCTTATGAATGAGGGTGGGAATACTCATTTATCAAAGAATTTGCTTATGTGTGATAATCATAGGTCCTCTCTCCCTCCCCTTTTCTCTCAAATTTGAATTTTATGAATTAGGTGACGCGAGCTTACGTTTACTGTAAAGTTTAAGAAAGTGATAATTTTATCATATTATTTATAATTTGCTAGTATCTCGTTGTACTTTCCTTCTAAGAGTGTTCAATATCTTATATTAATAAGTAAAATATTTTTTCTAGATAGAGGGGGATCATTGTTTCTTTTAAAAATTGTTTAAAAAAAATGTCTCACTTATTAGTACATGTTGTGCAGCACTTCTCAAATGAGAGTACATGAGAAAAAAATGTACTTTAATCTTATTTTTTAATAGAAATAGAATAAACAATTAAAAGTGAGAATTGTTTTTTTTTTTTTGTTACTCATAGACACCCTTCTATTAGAGGCATTGATGTTTGAATGAGTTAGGCAGTACATATGAGTTTTGAATATTAATTTATCACTTGTGAGAATTAACATATTTCAAGTATTAGAAGTGCCGAGTAAATAGAGACAGCTCAGTACTGTGAGTTTCTCAAACTATTTGGGCTTTTATAATCCATTTGAAACCGAGGAATGGGCTGTATTTAAGGGTTTAAATCTTGATTGGGACCGTGGACTTGAACACGTTACTATTGAATCTGTGGACAGATATTTATAAAAAAGAAAAAAGAAAAAAGAAAAACTTGTGGGCATCATCAACGATGGAGAAAGATTGTGCTTGCTATAATGCTGGGTCTTTGATGTTTAAGGAGATCATTTGAATGCTGTTGCTTCAATGGAGATCAAAATACTTTACATCACCGGTTGAATCTTGTGGCTGATGGACTTGCTAGATTTGATTCAACGATGCTTTCGAATTGTATCACACGGTTCCTGCTTCCTTGAGAACCCTAGCGCAGAGAAAGACGGTTAATTTCTTTTGGGTCAACTCAACGGACCGCCAAGATTAAAGAAATAATGAACGGTTGAGATGAGACTTTCCACTGAATTTTCCGTAAAGCGTCGTCGTTTTCAGGAGCTGAGCGGAGTTCTGTTTCGGAAGCTTCTATTTCTCTGGTATGCTTCACGTCTTCTTCATTGGATTTTGTGAGTGTTCCAATAACAGCTTCTTGATCAGAAAAGGAGGTTATCCTCAAGTTTAGAAAGGCAAAATGGACAATGGAAATAAAATGTCTAAGACTGACAAGAGTAAGCTAAACAGAAATGATTGCTGATTTCTTGTCTGATTGGTATTATCCAGTATGTCGACCATCCCGATGGTACCAGATTGAGCTGGTTTTCGAGTGCTCATGAGCGAAAATCATATGCAAAATGTGGATGGAAGCGCGCAATGTGGGTAAAAGAAACCAGGTCATGAATAATTCTTTCACGATGTTTGTTGTAAATGAAGTAAAATGTGGCTATAGATAAACATAACTTTCTTGCTCTTATATCGATTTAATTGATTGATTAATTGCTTGGAGTTTGATCAGCTTTGGATGAGAACTTCATTGCCTGCGAGAGATTGTCTTTATAAAAATTACTTGAGTTCAGGTGAGGATTTTGGAATAAAGAGGGGGCTAAAGCCCAAAATAATAGAAACTAAGCACATGCAAGAACAGAAAACTTCTTGGGAGAGGGCAAATGTTTGAGATTAGATTGGTTCAGTTTGTTAGCAATGACACTTTCCTACTTCCCTCGAGCTGCTAATTTTGTCGTTTAAGGAGAAGCGTTCTGTGCTCATGGGGAAGGAAAACTTTACGCTGATATAGACTTCAAGGCAAGTATATTCTGCCTATATGTTTTACTATTTTTTTCTTAATTTTCTTTTAGACCCATGGATTAGGATTTGATAAACTTATTAGCATTACGTAGATATCAAAGAAAAGAAATGAAGAATGAGTTTAATTAGCAAAGCAGTTCTTTGACGATGATTATGTGATAATCTTGTGACAAGTAAGCTGACACTCCTTTAACAAACTTAATTGTTTGTATTATGTGATAATCGTGCATTTCGTCCATCCCAAATGTTGTTAGATTGACCTGGTCGGTTGACGGTGCCCTTAACGTTATGTGCTCATAGGGCAGCGATAATCCCAAGCCCAATGCCATTCAATGCCTTGATGTATTCTTGTGACTGTGTGTGTTTATTGTTTTTGTTTTTTCTCATAAAGTTCACGCTATCCCAAGTCTCTACGGATGAGTTTGTTAGTTTTTGTCTATTGTTTATATATCTTTCATCCCTCTCTCTTACTTCCCCTCATTCACATACGCTTCAGGGCAAGTAGTCTAACTCTTCATTTACATGTCTGTTTTCTTACTTCTCCTCCTTCTTCTTTCTTTTTGGTTACATTCATGCTTCTGGATCTGATACATATTTGAAGCATGCAGATATCGAAGGAAGAGATGGAGAATGAATCCAACAAGGCTTTTCCTGAATCATATGCCATGAAAGGAGGGGAGGGTCCTCACAGCTATGCTCAAAACTCAAACTTTCAGGCATTTAATCTTAATCTTATCGCTTAATTACAGTTTGTTTTGTGAAATCTTTTGATTCTTATTTGATGGCTAATGTTTGTGTACACACAGGCATTAATCTTCTGTTTTATAAAAAGCTATATGACTATTAACAAGATAATTTAGTTTTGCAGAGAATAGATGATCCGTCATGTCATATATTCTATGCCAAAAAAATCATTCATACGTTATTATTGTCATGACAATTATGCAATATAGGAACGTGTTCAGAAGAGATTTACAGGGTAAATTTAAAGGTGGAAGAAGAAGAAGAAGAAGAAGAAGAAGAGAGAGATGGAGATAGATCCGTCATATTGAACTCATTTTAGTCTCATCATTTAAATGTTGATCTTATATGAATTTTGTCTGTCTCTTAAAAAATTATCATCTATATTTTTTGGTTAAATTTATAGGATTTTAATCTGCTTATTTGCTTAACAGATATAACTAATGAACTACATGATATCTGCAGAGATCAGCAATTGAAGCAGCCAAAAAGCTTCTCCAAGGTGCAATAGCTGACAACTTTGACTTGAAAATCATTTGTGCTGCTTCTACAACAAACCCAATTTGCATAGCAGACTTGGGCTGCTCCACTGGGCCAAATACCTTTATTGCAGCACAAAACATAATGGAAGCAATTGAACTCCAATGCAAATCTCAAAAACAAAGTGTCCAGGAATTCTTTGTTTTCTTCAATGATCAAGCCTCAAATGATTTCAACACTCTCTTCCAGAAACTTCCTCCCAACAAAAAGTACTTTGCTGCTGGAGTTCCTGGCTCTTTCTATGGACGCTTATTTCCGAGGCAGAGCCTACATGTAGTTCACTCATCTGCATCACTGTCTTGGCTATCTAAGTTGCCCAAAGAGCTTACTGATAGAAGCTGTGATGCTTGGAACAAGGGGAAAATTTACTATACTAATGCTCCAAAAGAAGTTGAAGATGCTTATAAAAGTCAGTTTAAAATGGATTTGGAGACTTTTTTACAAGCCAGAGCACAAGAGGTTGTGGGCAATGGGATAGTGATTCTTCTGATACCTGCTGCTCATGATGTGATTGATTTTAGTGTGGACTTGTATGGTGGAAAAGATTATGAACTTCTGGGAAGCTGTCTAATGGACATGGCAAAACTTGTGAGTGTTCGTTCGTTTTTTTTTTTCTTTTAATAATTTGGCATTGCTTAAGAGTGTGTTGTGTGATAAAACAAAGTAAAGTCAAATAGTTTTAATTTGGGTTCATTCAAATAGTAAGTCCCATTTGAATAGCTCTATATAGTTTGCCTTTTTCTTTTAACTCATGACATCCTCTATCTTATAAGCCTTTTGCATTAGAGAATATGAATATTAAAGTGATAAGTCCTTTTTTCTTCATAAAATGCTGCAAATTCTGAGTTTAAAGGTTTCCAATTTAGTTGATAAGTAATAATATGTATGTTACATGATTCTCACTTTATAAGTGTAAGGTTCACTAAGTTTAGAATATAAACATGGTATAATTTTTAATTGACAATTGGTATTGTGTTGGTTCTGCCTCATGGAAAATTGAGAGTAGCCACCAAGTTCAAATGGTCATAAAACTTGTTATTTGTAAACTATTGTTAAGAATTTGATAGAATCGACCATGGATAGGAAAGTTAAGAATTTGCTAATAGTTTTTGCCATTGTAGGGACTTGTAAGTGAAGAAAAAGTGGACACTTTTAACGTGCCCACGTATTTTCCACATGTGAAGGATCTGAAGAAAATGCTTGAAAGTAATGAAGATTTCAGCGTGGAGAAAATGGACTCATTTGATTGCCACAGCTCCATTCAGCCAAACTTGGAAGGGCATGTTTCCCAATGCAGAGCTGTGCTGGAAGTGCTAATTGGGAAGCACTTCGGAGATGGAGTTGTTGATGAACTTTTTGCTCGCTTTGCTGAGAAAGTTATGGAATCCCCAGAAGTCATGAATCTTCAGAAGCTTAAACTTCTAATGCTCTTTGTTGTTCTCAAGCGCAAGCAGGTGTAGACATAGATGGATAAGTTAACAGTTCTCTCCTGATGAACTTAATTATGATAATGCAACTGCCTCTATTCTGCTTGTTGGACTTGATTATGATGAAGGGTGAAAGTAACATGTGTTGACCTGATGTGTTTTAAAAGTTTTTTATATATAATTTTGTGGTAAGGTATTGCTGTTTCCATTTGTTATGATATTAAGTGATTTTTATGATCTTATATTTTATTTGCTTGATATTTACGAATAGTCATTATTTCTAGAATATGTGAGAGAGAGAGTTCCCCCCCCCCCACCCAAAAAAAAAAAAAAAACTAAATGGGGGAGGATTTTCTGATTATAAGAGGTTTTCAGTTTTTACACTGGTACAAATCATTATAACTGGTTAAATATTTTTTAAATGATTTAAATATTTTTCACACTGTTTAAGTTCATAATCAATGTATAATGATTAATTTTTTTAAAAAAATTACTTTAGACTTTCTCCACTTGTTATAGTTAGTGATAATTTTTTTTTAATATTCAATACTTTTTAACTTTCAACATAACATATTATATTTGTTGGTGTAGAAATTTTTTTAACACTGATTGTTTTAGTAACTGATGAAGAAAGTTCAATAATCATGCAATTTAGTGAAAAAATTGCTAGTGCCCATACTTTCTACACCTATTCCTTTTGATCTAGTGTAAAAGCCTATTGTACAAAGTGTCTTTTTTTATACTATACTGTATTTATGCCAACATTATGATGTACTAAGTGTCTTCTAGAGGTTTATTTTATCTCCTAAATATGATGAATGTCATGATATTTTTAAATAATTAAATAATTTTATTATTATCTTAAAAAATGAAAGAGATATTAATTGTGTGTTCTACATCAATACCATCATATATGATGTTAATTGTGATATTATTATGAGCAAAATTGAAAAATTATTGTGATTTTATTTCATTTCATCCAAAAAATAAACTTTTATTGGTATATGAGTGAGATTTGGTTAAAACTAAAAACATCTTACATATAGAAATAGAGTAATACATTTCTCCAAGTAAATGAATCTTAATGTAGTCGGTACATGTGAATGTTCCTGTACTTAATAGCGTGATTTGATTCATGAATGAGATAAGGCTTAAATATAATGATTCATAAAATTAAAGTAATGATCATCCACAAAATATCATAATAGCTCGAGATCATCTATGTCTAGTAAAAAGTTAAAATGATAAAAGGTTAAGTAATTAATTTAAAAGAGAAAATATATAATATTAAGTAATTAATTTAAAAGAGAAAATATATAATGAATGATTTGGATTTGATATCTATATTAGGATTTGATTGAGTCACATTAATGTGGATGATTCTTTCTTTTGTTGTAAAGGAGAGAGAATAGGTGATACTATATATGAACAACTAAAGAAAAATTGAGAGGGAAGATTTTGAGAGAGAGAGGGGGGGGGGGGCTAGAGTAGAAAGAGAAGGGTGAAGCAAGAGACATACATTGAAAGGTAGAAATAACTATTTCTTCACCCTATGCCATCATTTAGAATTGGTTTTTTCAAGAGAAAATGATAATAAAATTTTTTTAAATTAATAAATGATATTTTGGTTTATCAAAATGTTATAATTTTTCTAAAGTTCACTAAGACTTTTTTATTATTAAAGAATTAATATAAATAATTAAATTACTTTTAGTTCAGGATTTTAAATGCGAACTTTGAATTATTGTTACATTCTTGTGATTTTAAGAAGAAAAATTGTGAATCTTAAAATAAAACTCGTGAATGACAATTAATATTTATAACACTTGAAGAATATTAAAATTTTAATGTAAACTTATGAATTGCTATCAAATTTTTGCAATTTTAAGAAAAAAAATTGTGAATCTTAGAATAAAACTGGTGAATGATAATTGATATTTGTAACACTTGAATAATATCAGGATTGAAATGTAAACTTGTGAATTTCTTTTGAATTCTTATGATTTTAAGAAGAAAAATTATGAATTTTAAAATAAAACTTGTGAATAATAATTAATATTTGAATTAAAGATAATTTGATCATTTATATTAATTTGTTCATTACATAAAAATCTCTAAAAATTTTAGAAAAATTATAACATTTTGACAAACTAAAGTGTCATCTATATAATTTAAAAACAATTTTATTGCCAGTTTTTCTTTTTTCAAATGGGTTGTCTATAGTAAGAATAACGGATAATTTACTCGCTATATGCACTGCTCCTTTTTTGCTTTGTACGTTCATAATTTGATGAAATCTTAGAGATGTTCTTTTAATTCATGCCAATGAACTTCTCTAGTGTGGATAGAGGCCACCCTCATTTAATTTGAGTATTGAGATATTCTCTTTTTTCTTTTTAACTAGTATATGGCATGTGCTACATACGGGATATGAAAGAAAATAATTTAAATAAATAGTGAGATTTACTTTAACATTTGGAGTGAGTTGTTATTAAATTTAGAGATACTATAATTTTTGACAGTTTTAAAGGGAAAACAAATGAAGACATCAAGTAATTTAGATGATAACTATGAATATATTATTCTATAGCAAACCATTTACAAGAACAAAAAGGAGGGGATTATAAGAAGAGATAAAGTCATCTACCTACAATATTGATGAATATATTAGGGTTGTTGTATATCTTTCAAATATTAGGGTCACTCATAAGATGTTGATATGGTTAGTAAATACAAATTATAAAGTTTAGATGAATTTATGAAAATACAAACATATGGAGGACTGACTTGAAATAGTGTTATAAAAGCTTATAATAATGCAAAGGACAGAATGGACGAAAATAAGAATCAAAATGCACAATCAAAACATGAAATTCAATTTTGAATCAATTGTAGAGCATTGAAAGTGCATTTGTTTGACAACAAATCTATAATGAGAAGAATTCATCAAGAAAAAGAATCATAACATACCATAAGAGAAAAAACTACTTGAGAAAACGAATAGAGAAGAAGAAATTGTTAAACACCACAGGGAAGGGAAGGAGAAAGAGAAAGATGAGGAAAGAAGGAAGCTGTCACATCCCATCTTCTAACATAAACATAATTTGAGATAGTGACTCTATGGAAAAGTAGTTTTTGAATTAAATATAAAAAAATGGGAAATGGTCTTTGACAATTTAAGAAGATAATGGGAGGTGATTTTTGATGGTTTTAAAATAATTATTTTTAAATTTGAAATTTAAAATTAGGAACAAGTTAATGAGATGTTAGGATAATGGTGAGAGTGAGTTAGTATTATTTATATTTTAAATAATGACCAATAAAATAAAAATATAAAAATATATGGCATCATTAGACTTAAGCTTGCGGTATTTTTTAATTATAAATTTAAATTAAATAAGATAACATGATTTTTGAATTATAAATTTGAATTACAAACAAGTTAATAGAAAGTTAAGAGATAATGAAGAGATGTGAGGATGAGGTAGTTTTATTATATATTTAAAGTGAAATCATCATACCTAACCTTATAAATCTACTTTATACAAATATATATAGATTTTACTTTCATGTGAAATATTGGAGTATTTATTTTTTGACAAAGGCATTTCCTCATGTGTGTGTATTTTTTTTTCCAATGATTATTTCATTTTGTTTTTAGATTTCACATTTTTATAAGCCTATTTTCTCCTTATTTTACAAAGATGCAAGTGTCAAAGGGAAGTGTAATTGGTAGCATTTTTTAAATAAAAACCTCGTCAGATGGTCATTGTGCCCCAGATGTCATACACTAAGCAAATCACGGTGAAATTGACAGACTTTTAATAAAATGATCAAATTACCCCTAAAAGGACATGAATAAATTGGTCCGGTGATTGAAAAAATTTTATGTCTAAAAAAATATGAATTAAATTTTTTAAAATTTGAAAATATGGTTACAAGAAATTTATTATTAAAAATTTATAAATTTATTATTGATATACAATAATATATTATAACAAATATAATAAATTAAGTATAATATAAAATATAATAAATGTTGAGTTATTTGTTTGATTTGATCTTATAATATGGGTTATATCTGTAAAAGTTTTAAAAATAATTAAAAAAATATTTCCCACTTACAAATACATGATGCTCAATGCTTTAAAAAAAATAAAAAAAATGACATTTAACCAATAAGTTAATATTTATAATTAATTTTAAAGATTTACAAGTTAAGCTTCACAAATTTACAAATCTAACTTGTAAATTTACTAAATTTAATTTAAAAATATTAAAGCATATATTAATATTGGAAGAGATTAACTTGTAAATATATTAAGTTTCACTTGTAAATATTGATGACTTGTAAAAATTAAAGTATTAATATTTTAATAAAATATTTTTTCAAAAAATTATTTTTTAATCAATCAACTGTGGCCTGTGATTGGTCAACGGCCGCATGCCACCTGTGGGTCGGTTAACCTAATCAAAGAGGTACGAGTCCAAAAACATTTATATCATTTTATATGTTAAATTAACTACAATTAAGTCATCTAGAATTTAACATCTCCTTTGATTGGTTGGAATTTGGGTTTTGGAAAAAGAAAAGGAAAAGGAAAGAGAAAATTTCTTGGTTTGGTTGGCAGGAATTTGTCAACCAAGGAATCAAATTTAAATTTAAGGGAAGAGAGTGGAATTCAAGTTCTTGAGGCCAGGCTAAGGAAAATTTTATTTTTTGTAGGAAGACAATTTTTATCCCAGCCTTTCCTTCTAGTGACACCCAGTGGCGGAGTCAAAATCTTGAATCAAGAGAGGCAACGACGGAGCTAAGATTCTCAATAAAAGAAAGATATTTTTTATCTCTTCCATATTAACTATTGCTTTTTTTTCTTTCTTTTTTTTTATTTTCTATCTAACTTTTAATTGTAGATTTGTAAGTACAACGAGCTAGTAAAAAACATTCACCTAATTTACTCTTGAGTTTTGAATCTTCATTATTTATTATTGTTTTTTTTAACTAACCTCTGAGTAGTATTTAGGACGAGGAGCAAGTTTATTTAGTTATATTAATTTTTTTTATTTTTTAAATAATTAATAAATAATATTGGCATTTAGGTATAGTGAAATTGTGGGTTAATATTTATGAGGTTAAGTTAAAATTTGAATAGG